TTATAGCGATACACCAAGGATGACTCAATCTGAACACAAACTAAAAGGTACAATTATAGCGATACACCAAGGATAACTCAATCTGAACACAAACTAAAAGGTACAATTATAGCGATACACCAAGGATAACTCAATCTGAACACAAACTAAAAGGTACAATTATAGCGATACACCAAGGATGACTCAATCTGAACACAAACTAAAACGTACTATTAGAGCGACACACCAAGTATGACTCAATCTGAACACAATTAAAAGGTACAATTATAGCGATACACCAAGGATGACTCAATCTGAACACAAACTAAAAGGTACAATTATAGCGATACACCAAGGATGACTCAATCTGAACACAAACTAAAAGGTACTATTAGAGCGATATACCAAGGATGACTCAATCTGAACACAAACTAAAAGGTACTATTAGAGCGATACACCAAGGATGACTCAATCTGGACACAAACTAAAAGGTACAATTATAGCGATACACCAAGGATGACTCAATCTGAACACAAACTAAAAGGTACAATTATAGCGATACACCAAGGATGACTCAATCTGAACACAAACTAAAAGGTACAATTAGAGCGATACACCAAGGATGACTCAATCTGAACACAAACTAAAAGGTACAATTAGAGCGATACACCAAGGATGACTTAATAGTAACTAATGCACAGAAAGAAATCTTAGAAACGTCGTTAGTCCTTAAATACTCGTGGTAAAATGTCTTTATTTACTGGTAAATTGTTTTAATCGACAAGATAAACGCATGATTTCGCTTTAACATTTTATATGGCTTGGTTTGTTTTGAATTTCTCGCAAAGCTACGCGAGGGCTATCTGCGCTAGCCATCTCTAACTTAGCAGTGAAAGACGAGAGGGAAGGCAAGTAGTTATCATCGCCAACTCTTTTATCAACGAATGGTGAGATTGACCGTCACATCATAACGCCCCCACGGCTGAAAGGACGAGCACGTTTGGTGGTTTCGAACCCGTGACCCTAATCACCTGCGTTTTGTATAGAAGATTTTTAGAAAACATTATAAGCATTCCAGGTTAACGTGCTAGGTGAAGTACAAACGTAAAAACAGTAACTATTATACAGCAACTGGCTCCACCCCCACCCCGCAAGTAATCTTGTATAAGTAAATCCAATTGCTTTTCCTGACGGACTTGTGAACCTACCGACATATTTAGTACTTACACATATCTGTGATCTGTTATAAGTTCAGTGCAATGAAAAAATAGGCGCATGCTAAATAATCTACGCAAAAGAAAAACCACTAGTACGCGCGTGCACGAACAAGCTGCAAACTTAAGATGAAAACGAGTGTTTTGTTTTTCCAGCGTAGATACTCTTTTTCCTTTTCTTTACTAAACAGAAAATAAATGAAAACGAATATTTGAATTCCAATCACCATAACTCAGTCTTCGGCTTCATAAAAAACAATATACAAGATTAGATTGAGTTTTAGTTTTCAATTTTGTTTGTTTCTTGTTCATCACAATGGGCTTTCTGTGCTCTGCCCACCACGGGTATCGAAACTTGATTTCCAGCGTTGTAAGCCACCGAGGGTCCTATTTTTCGAAATGGAGAACTTAACAAAATAGCAATCTTTTGATCGCAAAACACACCAACCAAAAAAATATCTCAATTACGTCTGTTCTCACTGTAAGATAAGAAATTACCATTAACAAGAAAAACATATCTACATTGTCTTTCAACTGTGATACTAAGTGTCGCCCTCTGGTGTATGCAATGAAAACTTACTGTCCAACAAAATGGACAGTAAACGCTCATGCGGTCAGTGCCAGAGCAACAGATGGTATTTTCTAGGAAGATAAGTTACACAACTCTTTTACCAGTATGCTGACCAAAGAAACGTCGATCCTAATGGACTTGTTTCCTCCATGTCTACTAAACACACTTGCAGCTTAGCTGTGACAGATTGTATAGGTCCGCTGACCCATCACAATTAATGTTAGTTGTACTACTGCTGTAACAGATTGTGTTGGTCATCCGACCCATCACAATTAATGTAGTTGTACTGCTACTATATCAGATTGTACTGGTCAGCTGACCCATCACAATTAATGTTAGTTGTACTACTGCTGTAACAGATTGTACTGGTCAGCTGACCCATCACAATTAATGTTAGTTGTACTACTGCTGTAACAGATTGTACTGGTCAGCTCACTCATCACAATTAACGTAGCTGTACTGCTGCTGTAACAGATTGTACTGGCCAGCTGACCCATCACAACTAATGTTAGTTGTACTGCTACTATATCAGATTGTACTGGTCAGCTGACCCATCACAATTAACGTAGTTGTACTGCTACTATATCAGATTGTACCGGTCAGCCGACCCATCACAATTAATGTTAGTTGTACTACTGCTGTAACAGATTGTACTGGTCAGCTCACTCATCACAATTAACGTAGCTGTACTGCTGCTGTAACAGATTGTACTGGCCAGCTGACCCATCACAATTAACGTAGTTGTACTGCTGCTGTAACAGATTGTACTGGTCAGCTGACCCATCACAATTAATGTAGTAAAACTGCTACTGTGACACGATGACCTAATGAATGACACCTCTCATTACTTCTTTCTTCTCCTCCTCCTATAAATGAAGCCCTAATATTATCACACAGGACTGGAACGCTTCAAGCAATATACATATGTAACTTATTACACGCGAGCGTGTCTCTACACTGCTTCTATTCAAACGCTTACTTGAAATTAAAATTCAGTTTTATGTTTCGCTGAAGCGTCAGTAATACTCGAGTCAGCTAGTAAACCTCTAACAGATAGAAATGTCCGTGAGATTTTCGCTTCATTCCTATCCGAAGGTCATCTTGTGTTTATTTTAAAGTACATTTTCATAAAAGCTTGTTTCAGAATTTCGCGCAAAACCCTGCATAGCCGACCGTAGTTTTGAACTGAAAGACAGACAGTGAGATTTGACAGTTATTGTTGTAACTAACCAACAGTATAAAAGTGCGGAGTGATTGTGTGGCAACAGGTAGCGAACCAAGAATCTTCGGATCCACAGTACAGACTTTACAATTAATATAATTTGTTTTATATGTACTTAATTACGGTATCTTTTTTTTCTTAAAACCTTTTTTTTTTTCATTCTTCACATTGGCTGTTTTAAACGGATATGAAAAATACCAG